CGTCTGCGATAGCCCTAACAATGGAATCCTACTATCCTTGACTTCTGGAAGACGTTCTCGTGAGAAGAAAAGTAGGTAGTTTTCCTTTTTCGAACATACTTGCTTCAAGATGGTATTCATGGACGCCTACTGACTGTTGTGGACAGTAGAATCCCAACTTCCTGATGCACACCTATCCCAAACTCATCGATTCACTGGACTGCCCGCAAAAAACATAGAAGCGGATGGAGCTGTAATTTTCAAACGTTTAGTTTGAGAGGAGAATATCAAAGGCCAGCAGGGGTTTTGCTCAGTGTAGTAGGTGGCTTTTGGTCAAAGGCTGGTATGTAAAGGTAAATCACGCGGGCCACGATATAAAAGCTGGGTACGCATTGAGCGCAGTTTATTCTAGAAATTTCTGCTTTATTTCGTTAAAAATGCTTGTATTATAAATCGTTTATTAGTGTGTCGATATATAATTACAGTACACTGCGCATTCACCCGAGGAACGACCGCCATCAATCATAGAAAGGCTCCGCACTGCAATCTCCTCGGCTCCAGAGAATAGTAAGTCATTTCTCGACTTTCAATCCCAATTCATCGGCTTCATTCCAACACTATAGAAAACAAAAATTTAAAAAATGGGCAAAAAGTAATGTGGAAGAAGTACTACGTCTATATATGGCAATGGCGAATTAATCACAAATTATAATAAAATAAAAACGAAATTCACCAGTACCGTCAAAATTGTTTTCGGATGGATCGACAATTTACAATGGTTTGACTTATTTTTTGATATGCCTGGACACATCAAAAATAGATAGAAAAAGACAATCCACAATTCCTTCGTAATTAAGCAAAAACTTTAGGTGAAGAGCCAGTGAAGGTGCGTCTCATCAATGGATGGCATGATGTGACATGGGAGAAAATTAATATTGTTGTTTGTAATTTTTTATATGATAGAAAAACTGAACACCACAAAAGGTGAGGACCTCTTAGAGTCGAAGATTTTACATTTTGTACGAGGATGAGAGACGTTTCAGATGGAAGGAGTTGGAACAGATTGTAGGAATCCGGAGGGAGCATCTATTCTGCGGTGCATGCCTCGTCATTATTGCTGCTGTTCTTCGCCAGAATCCTCTCGTCGTCATGCATTCACTAGTGGTTGGTGTGTTTATTTTATAAATGAACTGAGTAAAGCAAAAAATAAATTGGAATGGACTTTCATCAAATGTTAGTGTCCAGCAATGTACAAAATGTTACGACCATTCCTACTGGTCGTAGATGCAAAAATGTAAAAAATTTAATAGAAAGGTACTGAATCGGTAATAGAGATCTTCACTCATCATCCGTGTGA